AGAGCCCAGGTCTTTCTTCAGCTATGTTAATATCTAGCTGTTTTAATATAATATCAACTGCCTTATAATCCTATCCCTGTCTTATTTTCAGCCATTTTCACATAATCTTCCTTACTTTCCCTCCTTAATTTTATATGCATAAAAGAAACTTCAAGATTGTCATTCCCTGGAGCATTTGACATCTTGCTTCCTAGCACTTGTCATCAGTTCTGGCTCAAATAAGCTCATAAAAATTCTCAAAAAGAATTCTAGCTGTTTTGTTATGTTAATATCATCAAATAGATTACAGTTAATTCACCATTTGGATTTTAATGTAACTTCATAATTTTATAATTTGATTATACATTATTATAATTCATTTTTAAAATTTTCATATACAAGGACGATTTTTTTAAATTTTCAAATTCTTGGGTAGGGAGTTGGTAGGAATGAAGGAAAACTTCATGGTTGTCCCCCAAGTACTTTCTGCATGGCCAAGGCATGGCTGTATTCTATTTTCCCCCTGAGGAAACTGTACCCACAGTTACAGAAGATGAAAATGATAGAGCAGGCAGCCCAAACCGGTCCTCCTGCAACTGCACCATTTTTGAGGAGTGGCAAGTAGACTGCACTTTGTGTGCCAAACATGATAAGCTGGAATATTAGTCTTCTGTGGCTGTTGTGACAATTAACCAAAACCTTAGGGGCAAAACACAGTGCCTGTTTATTATCTTACAATTCTATAGTTTCAAAATTCAACGTAGGTGTTCTTTGGCTAAAGTCAAGGTGTCAGCAGGGCTGCATTTCTCTCTGGTGGCTCTGGGGGAATCGTTTTCCTGCCTTTTCCCACATCTAGAGGCTGTCCACTCTCCTTGGCTTGCAGTCCCTTCCTCCAGTGCCAGCAGTGGCAGGTTGAGTCTTCCTTGTGTCATTTCACTCTGACATAGACATTTTTTTGGGGGGGGTGTATTATTCTGTCCACCACAGCTGGTCATGACTGTGCTGAAAAAGAAACTGAGGTCATGTGTACATGTATCAGGAAAGATAATTATGGCCAATTAGCAGTATTTCTTGTGGATTCAAAAGGAGGAAATGCCATGTATTTTCCATCCCACCATAGCTGCAGGCTTAAAAGAAGAAGAATTTCAAAATATCTACTGATAGGAGTGGTGACCAGCCAGTCCACACGTTCTAGCACTAGCTGGAAGGGCCCTTATCAGGGAAATGCTCCAATAATCTGTGTCTCCTCCTCCAACTGGAGCTACTTGCCCTTACTGGCAAACTGAGGCCCTTCCTAGGCTGTAGGTATAATCCTATGCTTTATGATCTGTCTGGAATGGAAGTAGAGCAACTAGTCTGGTGCTAGGTGCTGGACATCAAGATAGATTAGGACACAGTCTACAGGATAGGTGCAGACCAAAGAAGCTTACCCTCTTGATGGGGAGACAGATGAGCGAACATATGGCCACACGAGGTGAAATATCATTACTTCCTGGGCCTTGTTGGGCCTGTGCTCTCTACATCCATGGCTGTGCTCAGACAGCCTAAAGTGCACTTCTCTTTTCTGTTATGCCCAGTCCTACCTATTCTTCAAGCACCACTTCCCAGCTGGAAGAAAATCCACATTCTCATCATTCTTTCCTCTTTTAACATACCTGAGGCTACTGATGTTTGCATGCTCTGCACACAATACTTAGTGAAGAGCCACTCTGTGCCAGGCACTGCACCTGACATTGGGGACACACTGGGGATAAAAGCTACAAATATGGCCCCTTTTCATGGAAATGACAGACTAGTGGGGAAGCAGATGTGAGTCAAGGAATCACACCGTTAGATCTAAAGGGGCACCTCAGATCACTGCAACAATGAAAACGTACATGATGTTCCAAGAGTTATGAAGCTGCCCTGGGGAAGTGACAGTTGACCTGAAATCTGAAGGCTGAGTAAAAATTAACCCAGTGCAGATAAAAGAAAAGGGCATCCAGGCAGAAGTAGGGAGCAGAACGGTGGTGCTCCGAGAGCGCAGGGTATTTGCAGTGCTCGGAAGGGAAGCCAGATGCTAGAAGGAGGGAGTCAGCCGTGTGGGACTGGAGGAGGTGGGAGAGGCAGGCCAGAGCCAGAGCGTGTGGGCAAGCTCAGGGCTTCGTCCTCCGTCCCATTAACGACTGCGTATCCACCCACTTGCCCTTACCCCACTGTGAGCACCTTTGTTTCTGCTAGGGAGACCCTCACTTTGTAAGACTCCCAGTTCCCTCCACCAGCCTTCTGTGTTTAGGGTTATTTACGAAATTTTAGCTATGGTGTCAAGTTACAGGATGACTTAAAGAGGGATTAACAACAAAAAAAAATGTGGTGCACTCCTGACATGAGGGGAATGGCCACAGGGTCTTGAACAAAGAGGAGCTGAGGTATATAATCGGCTGTTTCTCTATGCCAGGTAGACCTAGGTGAACGCAGCACCTCTCTACCAATCTGAAGTGTCCAAAATATGTGCATTAAATTCTAACAGACTTCGATCTGAAACTTGGGAAATACTTAGCACATTGAAATGGCCCCATTACAAGCTGGGGGAGTCTCTAGAGATGACAGAGTGGTGATCATTTATGTCGCCCACAGAGGCTTGTATTAAATAGTTGCTATAATTGACAATAAATACTAAACGGAATTTTAGGACAATGAGGACCGTTGTATAATCAACAAATGCACATATTTAGGACCATTTTTCTGGGAATCTTGTCAAGGAGGTGTCTCAGTATTGTGTAAAAAGGGCTAGCTGAGATTCGGGAAGACAATATTCTGGTTCTCTTGCTTTGTCTGGCATGAAGGAAAAAAATTTTTCAAACCATTGTAAACCCCACTTTCATTACAAAATATGAAGTCACGTTCTTAAATATTGACAGAAGGCAAAAGTTTAGTATATTTTGTACTACCTTAAAAAATGCCCGAGGAAGGCATAACACTGGAGCCCGATACACTGCAGGCCGTCTCAAACTGAGTGCCACGTTGCCAAGTCCTCCCGCAGGGTTGGACAGCATGGCTGTTAATTCAGCTGAACACCAGATGAAATGGCTGGCTTGCTCTCAGGTGCCATGTTTTAACAAAAAGTGCACCTTCTCTTTCAACACTGAAACCGCATTCAGTGAGGTGAGGCGCTTCCTGAGAAGCACATGGTCCTGCCAGATGTACACCTCCCATTTCCCCAACTGCTCTTTCTGTTCCTGCTAGGGGGAGAAACTGATACCTCTTCACCCTACCTGCCTCAAAAGCATCTATGAGAATAACTGGAGGTGAGTGTCATAGGACATTCCATCAAGTTCAAGTCAGTGAAAATCCCTGGCTGGGTAGCTCGGTTGATTAGAGTGTCGTCCTGATACACCAAGGCTGTGGGCATGATCTCCAGTCAGGGCACCTACAAGAAGCAACCCATGAATGCATAAATAAGTGGAACAGCAAATCAGTATTTCTCTCTCTCTAAAAAATCAATAAATAAAAAATTGAAAACAAGGGCAAAACATAATTTTTTTTAAAAGTCAGTGAAATAAGATCTCCTAGATCAGTCACCGTGTCAATACAAAGTTTTATATAGGCCAAAATAGTGTAACTCCAGTACCTATGGTGGAATCCCAGAGTTACATGTATTTTGAAGAATCCAGTCCAATTGCCCACCCAAAGAAGGGTCCCATCCACCATGAAGAGCAGTGGGGAGACATGGAACTCACTCTTCAACAAGGAGACCTATTACTTGTTGAATTTAGAGACATTTTTTGTTCAGTGAGTTGGTACCTGCTTCTTCAGAACTCCCACTCCCTGATTTTAGTTATGTGTTTTGCAGTTACGCAGAATAAGTATTCTTGCATGTGACAGCCCTTCAGACATTTGAGGACAGTAAGCATGACCTCCCTTCTCTCAGAACTTGGGCGCCAAAGGCCTTGATCACCATCTGACACCTGCCTCCACGTATGTAACATTTAATGGTGTCCCCATTGCAGCATGGGCAACACAGCAGGGCCTACCTATGCATATTTACTCTCATGGAAAACCTCACTTTTGTCTTAGAATAAGGGCTGCAAACCCAGAAGCAATGTATCATAGGGAGGGCTACAGGTTGAAGATCCCTTTCAGATATGTCAATTTTACTGATACAGAACATGGACAAAAAAAATTTCACCACCTTAATTCCACAAAAAGGAACTCAGTTTTTAAAGTTCCCTCTCATTTACGTATTTGAAATGACTCCAGGGCTTGTGTTTGGGACCCTGCATGCCTGCCATCTCTGGAGTTCATTTTTCAAGGATCTCAACTGAGAAGAATCAAGATATTGAGGCTTATGTTTTCTAATGTCCAGAGATAATCAAGAATGTCATGGTTATTTCTCAATAATCATATGACCTGGTGAACTCATTAACTTTAATGTAAGTATAAGAACAGACTGTGGTCATCTCCCTAATAGTTCTAATAGCTCCTGAATAAATGGGAGTCCCCTAAACTCTCCTAATTCCATGGTTCTTGAAAGACCAGTGGTTGAGAAATTCTACCAGTGATATACTTCTCTTCTCTATGTGATCTGTCCCCATCACTCTCTGGGCCTTGCAATGACTAGGATAGATAACATATATAGGTAGAGATGTACAGTGTGAAATCTGGTCGTGGTTTTCGCTAAGAGTTGACAAGTTTAAAAATATAGTGTGGGAAAATTACTCATAGTTATGCAGGAAGATGGGAGGAAAGTGCCAAATGGGCCTGTGTTCTCAGTGTGAACATATGTAAAAAGAACTCTGAGATACAGACATTATGATAAACAAAAACGATCAACCTAACTTATCAAGAAAGTGTACAGATAGAAGATCACGGTGATCGTGTCTATAAGAAAGAGCTTATTCATAAAAGACGACTTTGTTCACTGATAATGGACTGGCACACTTGGCTCTCCAGGAACATTTCAACTAAACAAAACATGGCAACACATTAATCAGAAATATAGCTTTATTATTATATTTCATAATTTAAAAACTTTCCTTTTAATTCTTGGAAGAGAATATTCCAACTTCCAGACAACTGACCGACCCTGCAAAATACTAGAAAACAGTGTCTACGACATCTGACTTTTGCAGTTAAGAATCTGTAACCTAGTTTGGGAAAAAAAAGGAAAAAACAGTTCCAATAAAGATTATTTTACTTATAAAACAAATTAGATCCATTCTTGAGTTTAACCTTTAACATGTTTTCCCAGAACTCTGGTGATTTCTTCCAAAGAGCAACTCTAAGGTTGGCTTCCCATGTAGACAAAAAAATAAAAATAAAAACTAAGACGCAAGTGGGACATGGCACCTGGCTCAGGCCATGGCGTGGAAGTGGGTGTCTGTCGGAGTGAGCCAGCTGTCACGCTTCTATCGCAAGTGTATGTGACTAAGGAAGCACAACATACATAATGCATTTGCTTGTGTGAGGGTCAGACTTTAGTTGAAACTTAAAAAAAATTTAAATATAATACATCTTAAAAATCACCTCCCTTGTGTAATGTACATAGAGTAGAAAGACATGGTGCTTTCTAAAGATCACGGGTACCACTGTCAAAAAAAGCTCTTGGCATATGCCTCTCGGCATGTCAAATGAAAATCGAAAATGTACCTTACATTAAAGAAATTAGAAAAAGAGTCTGGTTACACCACCTTTAAAAACAAGTTGTGGCTGCACACACATGTTATAGGACCATCAGCATGCAATACAATCACCAAGCCAGTTTTCAGTGTATAAAGGCTAAAGTGCAATCATGGTATGAACATCAGTAATAAATAACCTTGGAGAAGATTAGTTCTCCAAGGAAATAATTGTAACATTACAATTTTACAATGTTAGCCCAAACAGGGATATTCACAGCAATGTTTTTCCCACTTGATAGGTGCCTTTACACACATGAATGGCCCACCCCAAAGAGCCAAAAGTCAAAGTGAAGATTAAAAAATCAACATTTTCACTATAACAGGTTAAAAATGTTTGTATAATGATAAGTTATACTTTTCAATATACTGTCATGTTAAGTAATTGCTTTATTACCTATTTTTAATGCACTGCTAATCTGATGTTTATTGTAACAACAATCATAATTCTACTAATGTTAATTAGGTTACAGTTTTAATTTTTAAAATGACAGAATTCAATTTACACGAGCTAACATATGTAGTTTAAAAACCACCCACCACAAACACACATCTTTTCCATGAGTATTTAAAAATAAACTAATATACTTAACATATATTTTTATGTTATATATACGTATACATGTATATATTTGTGGACATAATTATTCTTATTTCCAGGAGGATGTCAGCACTTGTAAACTCTGCAGGAGATTTGAGGATAATAGTAAGTTTAAAAACCACAAAAGTTCATTCTTGAAGAAAGTCATAAAGCAGGAGATTCTTAACAGATGGGTGTTTGTGGAAGCAAAGGCCATTTCAGGGCAGGAGAGGAGGACCGTCTCAGACTCTGGATCCCACATGTGCTGCTTATTTCAGAAACTACTTTAGAAAGCAGTGTACAATGAATACTGCAGGTACCTGGTTGAAAGGTAAGAATGTATTTCAGTCATAAAAGGGCGCAGAAGCAGCAGGAGGTGGACCAGTGAGGTGAGCAAGGAGACAGCCATGCCCGCAGCTAGCAGAGAGGCCACTGATGCTGCCAGAGGTCTCGGGAAAGGGGTGTGGTACCTCCCGGGTGGACGGCTTGCAACGCTCGCCCTGTGCAGCCCTCTGGCTCTGACCACTAGGACCCTGAACTCGTGATGTGAGAGAGTGGCCGTGCCGTTCCTTTTCCTGATGGCTGCTGATCAAAAGGGTTTTATGTCCTCCCCCAACCACAAACAACTATTAGGACAGAGGCTGCCAGGGAAGACAACAGAGGGGCACCAAAATCTGAATAACCGTGCATCCGGGGGAAACAAAAAACCAGAATCAAGCAAACTGGAAAACAGTCCACTGAGATGAGAACTGAAATCTAACAAATGAGTAAGTACTCTGGGAAACAGGAATTCTTATTTTGGAGGCTTTCAAACGAACTGAGGGGCAGGTTAAAAACAAAAATATTTTTTATTTCACTGCTATTAAGAGACTTTATATTGCTATTCCTTGTCTCATAATTTAGCAAGCAGTGAAAGACAAACGTGAACCTTTCCCCAGTGCCTGACATCCTGTGTGGCCTTGGGCTGGGGAACTAATTGCCACTGGATAGAACGCCAGATGCAGAAATGACTGGATACTGGGTTAATTATTTTAGAAGTTGGAGCTTTCTTTTACTAAAATTTTTGGAAAGACAGCTTTTTTAAAAAAATTCTTTTTGTAATTTGCCTGTTGGTTTTATAAGAGTCCTGTAATAAAAGTTTGGTTCACAAAGATGCCTGTTTGTTAAATTCTGGTTAATCCATGTGGTTGGACAGACAGGAAGGACATGTGTTATGCACTTTGCTTTTTCATTGTGTCTTGTTATGGGATGTGTGAAAAAGAACATCATAGTTGTCCCCTGAAACGACATTCCCCAAAGCCCAGCAATGACAGTCCAGGCCATCCACCCTATTAGATGATGTTCACGAGCGCTGTTGGCTTTTTTTTGGCCATTTTGGGCCTGATGTTGCTTTTCCGACTAAACCCCAGAGGCTCTCCTTTCTTCGGCGGTCTGCAGAGTTCTCTCGGGGTGTCCGCCTGTTCATGAATGGACTTAGCAGGCTGCAGGCTGGCTCTTTCCTCCCTGGCTTTTTTCAGGTAGCTCCTTCCCTTTGCATGAAAATGAGTCTTGAGATCCGGATGGTTACACACTGAATGTGGGTGCCCTCGGCTTCTGCAGATGGTCAGGGAGGAGGGGGGGAGATGAGCAGAAAGACTTCTTTAAAGCCTTAAAATAGCAAAAGCTACCCACAGCACAATCACTCCTGCATGCCAGGGCAGCGATAATGCTGCCAGTAAAACAAGTAATACATATTGGTATTTTTCTTTCAAAAATTCCTGTGACCTTCATGAAGTGATCCTACTACATGTAATGAAGCGATATTACATTCTCAGAGAAATATTCCTAGTCCTGAGAACTGGAAGATGTAAATGACTCCCCAGGATAATACGCTACATACAGGTAGTCGATAGCGAAGATGGGAGCAGAACCCATACCTCATGAGTCTTTGACTACTAGAGGAATCAGACACATTTGTGGTACAGCTATTATAAAGTATACAATTCATGGCATAAATGCATGTATGCAATATACTATACACCCTGCAGTAGTAGTACTAAAGAGCTATTATGACTATACCTCAATAAGAGAAAGTTACACCATATAACACTATATATTGTATAGTACTATCATACTGCCATATACAAACAGGCAACTAGCATAGCTAAAAGTCACATCTATATTTTAGAAAGTTAGGTATATAAGCAGGTAAATTTTCACCTGAGACCCTCAAAACCATTTATATTACAGGTGCCATATAAGATGCAACAGAAAAACATTATGCAAACATTATGAAATGACCGAAGTATAAAAACAATACATACAGGCATTTGGGTCTCCTGTTTGAAGAGATATCTGCAAGCTGAAGGAAAACAAATAAGAAAAAACATTATTTAACTTGAAGACTGAACTTGGTTTTTAAAATCTTGCTTATATTTTTAAGAGATGGTGTTTCTGTTAAGGAAGCGGGAATCATTGGAGCACTGCCCAGTCGCCCCAGCGGTGAACAGGAGCATCTCAGGCTTAGCCTCTGCTCACTCAGGGACCCGCTGCCTCCCTGTTCAGAGATTTCCAAGAAGCCCAAATCAGCAGATCTCAAAAGTCTCAGCGAGTCAAAGAGCCCCTCAATAGAGCAACATTTGAAGAAACATGTTATTAAAAACTGGAATGATGTAGCATTATTTCTTGATGGATTCAGACGGTCTTTGCAGCTAATTTACTACAGCTGTGGCTGTTCACAGTGTATCAACAGAGGGGAAAATTGGCATAAAATGTTTATTGCCTAAAATACCTCATTTCTAAAAGGAGAGCATATGAAGACCAACCTACTCCACAATTGTCTGAGGCCATCTATCACTGAAATTATTTTCCACTCCCATTAAAATACCTTCAGGCACTTTTGTGGCCGAGCTAGGAGTATCATTTTCAAAATAAATTGATAATTATCATTTTGTGATCCAGATGTGACCATCCACATCATAGGCCAGCCCAGTGTATTCCAAACCTTCTGTTCCTGACCGCCTTCATGACAAGGAGTGGCAGGCGGACAAACAAGATAAGGATGACAAAGAAAATGTGGAGAAAGAGCCATCTTGGTGCCGGGGCTCAAGGCTGCCAAGACACGTGTGCCTGCTGGACTCAGATACCTGAGAAGAAAGCTCAGCATATCAGGACCACGTCCCCCGTTTTCCTGTCTGCCCCTTGGGCTTTGGTCAGCAGCAAACCAGAAAGAAGTTTTCTTAACTTTTGAGGATGACGTCCAGAAGAGGGCAGGATGGCATTCTTGCCTTCTGCCTCTTGACAATAAAAATTCAGCATCATTGTTGGCCCCGCTCACAGTGGTGGGTTTCGGCATGAGGTTAGGAAATATGAAGAGAAGAAGGCCCCTTCCTTGCACGAGGGTCCTGAGGTTATGTGACATACAAAGAAGGTGGGACAGGTGACGAACACCAGGTTGGCAGCTTCTGGGAACCCCAGAGGCATCAGCATTTCTCCCTTCTTGCCCCTCCTGTCCCCACCACCAACTAGGGTTTCTCACCTGGGCTCCTTTCATAGATTTAAGTGTAAATCACACACACACACACACACACACACACACACACGTACAGGATCTATCTCCCTTTAAGTCCCTCCCCCATTTTTGTGCATTAATACTGAGGCCTAACAATTTTTTTCACTTTGCTGTATGTTGTATACATATAGCTTGGCCCTGGCTGGGTAGCACGTTGGTTAGAGCATCGACCTGACACCCCAAGGTGCTGGGTTTGATCCCTGGTCAGGATACATACAAGAATCAACCAATGAATGCATAAATAAGTGAAACAAATTGACTTCTCTCTCTCTCTCTAAAATCTATAAATAAAAAAAGAATTGTATACACATTGTTTGATGACTTACTGCTTTTATGTAGACACAATACCCTTTGGAATTTTATGAGAGAGAGAGGAAGTGTGTGTATGCTTTCCTGCTTCACTTTCTGGGGGAAAGGCCAACAGTGTTCTCAAATGTTCAAAGGAGTCCCTGTAGTTTTAAGAACAACCTTAGCACCTGTGGATGTCACTAATGGACCCCGCTGGGACCTCAGGAAATAAGAATAATTTACTATGTATTATAAAAAAAGAAATGCATAAATAAAAATGGGTAAAGATGAGCCACAAACTTCATATATGTAGGTACCATAAATTGTGCATTTCTATACATCACATACTGTGTAAAATGTTCACCGAGGAACAAACGCAACCCTCCAAACAACCTTAAGAGACCTTATAATCCCCATTTTACAGATATGGAAATTAAGGCAGACACGTTAAGTAGCTGGTTCAAAGCCACATGTTTTACCAATGTTAGGGCTGGACTTCAAATCCAACATGGCGTCTTCTTAGCCAAAGCAAGTCTTCACTCTGTACAGCCTCCCTAAAAAAGTGTGTGTACACATAAGTACGAGAGCAAGGAAGTATATACACAAAAAGTTAAGTGGACTCCAGGCTGGGTCAGAATTTCTCCACTGATCCTTCAGATTATGAGGTTTGGGGTGGAGGTGGGACCAGTTATCACACACTATAGAATTCATATGCTCTCCTCTCCGTGAACACAAGAGGCCACTGTTCCTTTGGGCCCCCAGAGCCTCAGGCAGATGGAAAGGCTCTGCCCGCTTAGCCCATCCACCTGCCTCCACTTTCCCTAGTCCACTCTGTCTTCTTTTGGTATGGAAAGGAGTGTATGAAGATGGGGATCAAGACTGTGTTTGATTGAGTGTCCTTGATTGAGTGTCTGGGTTGGAAAAATAGAAACAGCCTTGAACTGAGAGCCAGCCTAACTATTTCTAAAACACAAAAATGGTGTCTCAGGTTGTTACAATAATAGGCTTGGGGAAAGCCAGCCTCCTTCCAACTTCCCCTTTGTAAAAACAGCACTGTATATTCAATTGTTCAGGCTAAAACCTTAGATTCATTCTTTTTAGTTAAAAAACTTATTGATTTTGAGAGAGAAAGAGCGAGACAGAGAGATCAATGTGTTGTTCCCCTCATCCATGCACTCATTGGTTGATTCCTGTATGTGCCCTGACCAGGGATTGAACAGCAACCATGGTGCATTGGGAATGATACTCCGAACAAGCCAGCTACCCAGCCAGGGCCTTAGATTCATTCTTGATTCCTTTCTCCTTCACCTGCTAAATCTAATCCTTCAGCAAGGCCAAGTGGTCTTGTCAATTCTACTCCCAGAATATATTCTATACCCATCACTTCCCTTTACCTCCACTCTATCCAAATTGCCACCTCCTCTCTCCTGCCACTGTAACAGCCTCCTAACCCATCTGTTATTCTTACATTCCTCCAGTCAATTCCCCACAGAGCAGCTAGACTGATTCTGCTAAAACACGGATTGCTTCTAGCTTAAAACCTTCCAATGACTTCCCTCTGTGCTCTGGAATGGATCCAAACTCCTTACGTGACCTGCAAGCCCTGGCATGACCTGGATCCTTCCCAACTCTCTGACTTCACATCCTAGCACTGGAACGTGCCAAGCTGGTTCCCTCCCGAGGCACTTGCAAATCCTATTCCTTTGTCTAGAACATCCCGCTTGCAAATGTTCAGAGCTGGCTCCCTCTTGCTATTCAGGTCACAGTGTGAAGCTGCCTCTTCAGCAAGGCTTTTCGTGAGAGCATTTCACTGAAGTGGGCATCTCAAACATATCATCTTACTTTTTCCTTTACAGTAGTTATCACTGTACAAAATTACCTTCACCATTTGTTTACTTGCTTACTGTGAGCCCCTCCTCACTGAGAGCAGGGACCTCATCTATCTCACTCCCAGCAGTTTCCTTGGCATTCAGTAAGCGCTGTGTCCTCAATAAATAAGTGTTAAATGAATTACTGCTAGTCCTAATTTAGCAGCCTGCAGGACATAAATGCAATCCTTAAAATAAGATTATCCAAGCTGTTTCATGACCTTCTGTGTGAGCAGCTCTGTCCATGATTCTGGCAGATGGGATACTGGGTCACTTTGCATCTAATTCGACAGCCTTTCTCAGAGCGTAAAGAAAAAATATCTGAGTAAGCAGAGCACACTTTTAGAAACCAGCCAGGTGAAAAAAGAACCAAAATGCTCCAGGGGATCAAGGGAAAGATACAGATGCCGAAACAGTATTTCAGAAAAGGCACTAAATGTGAGGGGTGAAGGAAATCTTTCTAGAGCACGAAAGAATTTAAGCTTGAAGGCACCTTAAAAACAATGAACTTGTACACCAATCTAGAAATTTCACTGCTATCTGAAGGTGGTAATGGAAAAAAGAAGAAAGAGGAGAAGGACCCCGGGGTGGGAAGCAGAAGGGCCATAAAGAAGACTCACACTTTCTGTAGTTATTGATGATGGCAAAAGCCAGGCCGGGCAGGGCATGGTGTTCCCGGCTGCTCTGGAGGAAGGGGCTGATGTGTGTCTGTGGGGGAGCAGGGAAGCACCGAGGTCAGAATGCTCTGCTCCCTCCTTGGGTGCACTGGGGCCAGAGCTCTCCTGGCAGGCAGGTGGGGGGGGCAGGAAGTGAGGCTCCAGGAAATGAGCCTGGGTGTCTCTGTGCTCTGGATCTCCACTAAGCCAGACCAGAGGTTAATAGAAACATGATCCAGAGCTTCTCCATCGAAAAGCATCCAAGTTCCTCTGTGTAGCTGCAGCCACAGTTACCCTGGGAGTCCAGACTCAGCATTCGCCTTATATCAAAGACATGGCTCCTACCTTCATTGCGAGTGTGTATTGTTATGGTGAAACAGACAAAGTAAAAAGGAGACACAGATTCAGGATCTGTGGATGCCTCATGATGTGGTCCATTATGAGTTAGAGGATTATGCACAAAAACAGGGGAGACGGGGTCTGCTAAATCCTTTTAGAAATCAAACACCTCATTCTTGGTCTTCTCGGAGAGATGTATGCTCCCCCTACGGTGTGATCACACTCACAAACAGCTCTCACATCCAAATTCCCTGTTGTAATCTTAGCTACACTGTATTTGAATGAATTAGTTCTTCCCCAGGTAAATCAAGTCTGATGAAGGCAGGTTACGTCATTCATGTTTTGGGACACAGAGGGCTTGCACATTTATTAATTTCCTACCATATTTGTTTATAGGTATGTATGCATAAATGCATGTGTGTACTTACATGTATATGTGTGTACATGTATATATGCTGTATATACATGCACATGTATAAATAATTTTATATATACTCCTGACTAGAGAGTAGAGATGCTGTTCAACTTTTGATAGCATGGCAAGAAATAATGACTGTCTATGTCTTAGGAAAGTTGTTCAATTTTCAAGCTGGAAAAATAAACTGAGCAGAGGAAGTGAGCACAGAACTATAAGAGAGAGAACTAATGGGCTTCCTTTCTTCCCACTTGCTTTCCACTGTTTTCTCTCTAAGATCCTCTTGGCTTAGCATAGCAGAATCTTACACACTTCTTAGCTCTGGGTTATTTATAAGCCTGACCATATCGATGCTACACTTCAATCTCAGAATTCCTAACCCCCGAGTCAGGTAGTGAGCAGAGAATTTTAGAGACCAAAAGATCTTTTGGAGCATCTAGTCTAACTGCTTCATTTTACAGAACTTAAAAGTCCAGGAAGATAAACTGTCTTGCCCCGCCAGAGGGAGGTGAGACATGAGAACGATCAAGGCGAGAATGATCTGGAACGCAGGCCTTTCACCTCATATGTGAGTTCTCTGACCTCATGCCACAACCCTTTCCTGAAACAAGATGGAAGAAGAAGGTAGGAAGAAACTCGGAGTGGCCCTCCAGCCAGTGAGCTACACCTGGACACTCGCGCGGTCTCCCAGGGGTAACAGCGGAATCAAGGAGGGGAGTGAAGGTTCCCCCTCAGGGAACCACAGATAGACACCCGGAAAACAACAAGTATGTCATGTAGCTGAAACTTCTTTGAGCACAGAAACCCCACAGATATAACACGTGTACTTCCTGTCAGTCTACTTTGTTTCTGGAAGGTTCTGAAACTTGTTTTACTGAGTGCACATTATACAGTAAGCACTGGGTAAGATTTCTTTATTTCATACCTTCCTCCCTTTCTCCTTTCTTTCCTGTAATCTGTCTCTCTCCCTCCCATCTTCCTTCTTTTACTCACCTGCCCTTCATTTAATTCCTCCTATTATTACTTAACCCTATTTCCTTTCCCTCTTGGCTTCCAGAATGCTCAACCTGAAGTTTTTAATCAATCAGTAGCAGCAATCTTACTAAACTGCTGATTAGCATAAATGTTCCCTATTTCCTAATATATATAGTCCATTTGGGGGGAAAGTAAAAGGATCATTTTTAAATCTTCTGGGAAGGAGGTAAGTGCAAGTGAAATTCAATAAATAATAAAAATGTTATAAATAAACCACTTTGGCATTTCCAAAGTCCTTTCTTTGGCTTTGTTGTTTATAGCACCAAGGAAATCTTATAGAGGACAAACATCACCACCCGTACCACGCCCCTCACTTAGAGCACGGTTATTTCACCTCCCCCTCCCTCCACAGTGACCAGGGAAACTTGATCAAGCCACTGTGAGAGTCTGGACCTTCACCCATATCTAGGGTTTTCATCCGGACTCTCGTGATTTCTTAAGCCCCTGAAACTATATGTAAAGCTTATGCAAAAGTGTATTCTGTAACAGAGCTATTGCCCTTAAATTTTTCTGTCTCTAAAAATATACTTAAGAATGCTTAAACTTTAGAGGCTACTGAATAGTGTTTTCCTTCCTACTAAGGAAAAAAGTATATAGGTAGTTAAATCTTGCTTTGCTGAGAAGGGCTGAAGCTTTCATAAAATTCCCTTATGAAAATACTGTCCTATCTTCTGTTCTGCTTGAACACTGAGGCTGGGACAGATGACTTATCTGAATACTACAAACTCTGTTATTCTACACATGTAAAACTATTCCTGCCAATTCAGCTTGGTGTGCGTGGAGTCAGAGGGGAGAGAATGGGAGACGGTGCATCCAGAAGTAAGCTCACTTCTGGCTGTCTTGGCCCCACCTATCTCACCTCCACAACACAGGCCTGGCCGGGCAGTGCTCCCAGATGGTGTCTGGAGAGTGCCTGCAAGTCACTCCCCAGATCTCATTTCCCCTGTCCTTGACCCGATCTTGCCAAACCCAAGGACCTCACGCTTTGGCTGGACCCACGTGACTTACCACATGCTCCCTGACATCCCGGCAGAGGCCCGAGGCCTGCTGGCTCTGATAGTACTCTAATTGCTTTTCCGCCAGCTCTACCCGTTGCAACAGATTCTCAATGAAGTCCTGGAGCCGAGCCTTCCCTTGAACCTCCTTCTCCGCTGCTGCTTCGAGGAAATGGTTGAATGTAACAACTTCTCTGCAAGGAAAAATGTCAGAACACAAAATGGAGACATGAGACAGGAATTCATTCATTCAGCACATATCTATTGACTACTCCGTGTCGGGTACTGCCCTGGACTGCATGGCCACAGCAGTGACAAAAGAGGTACACTTCCACTCCAGTTATAACATTTAGAGATTAGCATTTTAGTAGGAGATAGTCACTATAAAATATACAAAAGAAATGTCAGGTGGTGATAAGTGGTAAGGAGAACTCTGCAACTGGGTGCAAGGGGACAGGGAGTGACAGAAGGGAAGGGGTGAAGGATGGGGTAACACCTGAACACACACCTGAAGGAAGTGGGAATGAGCTGTGCAGACGCCTGGGGAGACCTTGGGGTGAATGTGCAGACGGGTCTAAGGTGCAGCAAAAGGGCCTGCGTGGTGGGTGCAGAGTGGGGGGAGGGGAGGTCAATGGGGGCAGGGAGCCAGGTGGGGCCTCGGAGGTCACTGTGAGGATTCTGGATCTTCTTCTACATGAGAAGTGGGAGACCACCGGACACTTCTGAGAAAAGCTCTGACTTGCATTTTAAAAGTCTGGCTGTTAGGGGAGAAGAGACTACAGGGAAGGAAGAAGGTATGGGAGCAAGAGGTCGCGCTGACTGCTCAAGTTATAAAAGGAATCAGCTGTCCAGCGGTAGAGTTCTGAGCTCAGAATGAAACAGTCTAAGAAATGCTCTCTTGAAGTAGATCCAGGGTCCACTGGGAAAGCTATTTTAGTTGACACAGGAGAATTGGGCAGGTTGCCCTTCCCTAATAAATTACGCAAAATACCTCAAACAATAGTCTTCTACCTATGTAATTCCTTATGGATTCACAAATCCAGAAAAAAATTATTACTTTATTACTTCTATATCTTATTTTTTTTGCTATTGCAAGTATGAAAATAACATTTTGATAGGCATCCCCACAGCACTTCTATGCATGCTCTCACACACACACACACACACACACACACACACACACACTCATGCATGCATGTACTTTGGTGCTCAGCCCTCTTCTCAGGTCAGGTTCCAGGTAATCAACACTACCAGTGGGTGTCCAGTATCCCAGCTCTCCTCATCTGACTTGCCTCACTTAATAAGCAATCATGAAGATCCTTTCAGTCATGTTCCTGTATGTTCTGCCACCTCCACTGGGGATAAGGAATTCCGTAACATCACTACCTGTCGGATATAGTATTTTCTTTTGTGTCCTCACTGTCTGAGGTCACCCTCAGACTTTGAAGGGTGACCCCTCATTTTTCTGGCCATGCTCAATTTAGGCTTTAGCAAGATTCTAAACAATCTCCCCCTCCAGCCTCTCTCATTTTAAAGAAATGAATCCTATTTGAAAAACCTGACCTCATGCTGTTGTTCTAAAGTTGATTAAATGCATGGCCTTCTCTGCATCGTTTCAACCGCCACCCGATTTTTATTTTCCATGGAGCTCCATCATTTCCTAAGAGGAGAAACTTCAGGGAAGGCCCGCTCAGGAGTCACAGTTTCACAGAAAGTCTGGGCCGAAGAGCTGGTTGTGGCTTCCAACTCCTTTCTGTCTGACTAGTCAGTGAGCTGCTGTTATAATTAGTCATGATTTTTCTCTCACAAATATATTATGTCATACTGAGCCTTCCTACAGAGTCAAATGTCTCTGCAAAACCTTGGGAACCATGTATTTATAAAAACAGAAAGGAGACTGGTTGTCAAAAGTGATTCACTAGAAGAACTGCTCATTACACCAGCCACCATTTTTCTGTTTCCCTGTCTAGGATCAAACATAAACCCTAATCCCATGGTAATTCCATTATCTTTTAGTAGTCAGAAAATATTCACATAAGTGAAATAAGAGTTCTTTTGGAAAGGAGGTTTCTTTCATCATCGAGTTTGGTCCCAGATGTTTTTATACCGAAGATGTGCACTTTCCAAGTTCTTCCAGGCCATGGACACAGGCCAGTGCTCAAGCTCCACTGCCATTCGGCTTTGGTCTGCTTCCGAAATGAGTTGCAAATCTTTAACGAGCAGCAAAATAGTGGAGGGTCCATCTGAGCACTACACTCAGCCCTTCTGTGGCTCCAAGTCATGGTCGGGATCCTCTGGAGACAGTATCTTCATAGCTCAAAAGCACCACTGAAAACATGGCTCGGAAAAAGGCTACTGCTTCCTCCTCCCAACATGAAGGCTTTAACTCATCTGGCATCAGAGCTCGTTGTAGAGACTTCCTGGGTGATGTGTGGATTAACTGTCATGAAACAGTCACTGAATTGTACTTATAGAAAAAACAACCAAAGACTCACAGTCCTCTCCCCCCAGCAAAAACAACAACAAACAACAAAAAAACACAGAAAAAAGAGACACTGTATTTTTTCAATTCATTTTGGTTTTATAATATTTACTATATTTATGTCATTATAGAAAGATTTCATACTTGTTATGGGAAATGTGAAAATTGACCTATTTGGAAGATCTGAGTAAGGGCTCAATTAGCTTTGTTTTCTGCTCTAAGCCCATTGTTCAACGCAATACATGCCACATCATAAATGATTAATAAACACTTGTAATTAATGTTTAAAAGGCACAAGAAACAAATAAAAAATGACCCATAATCTCACCACCCAGAGGTAACTACTAACATTTTTTCCTAGTCTTTTTTCCCCTCTGTATATATTTACTATTCTTGGGCTCTCAGGCTGTACGTTCAAAATATAAGACAGAAATAGCTGACAGCTTAATCCCACAGGATTAACATCTCAAAATCAAGAAAACAATCTGAATGCAATACAGCTTATAACTGTGGCTCTATTTTTAAATCATGTAATCTTTTGCCACTGGTTCCATATAAAACTTTTATGAATTAACATGAGTGCTCCTAGCTGTTCATGCAGTGTTATGTCATGTTGGGAGAGGACATGCATCTTTTTCCAACTTTCCCCTCATCCAATTATCTTGTGCCCTGAAGCTGAGAAGTTAATACCCTTTGTATTTTCCAACCAACCTGGCACCAGTGTTAACCTAATTTCAGTTTATGGATGTTTCACATCAGCTAAAATAAAAGAAGTTAAAATAAACCTGATGATTTAATTTTAAAAGAGAAGTTACGCAAAACAAAGACTAGAGAAATTCATCATATTGAGACGGTGTTTGGGTATCTGTACTGGAAACAGTAAGGAAGTGTAGTAAGTGTGGGAGAACATGTGTGCACAACTTCAGATCCCCGTTCACATCCTGTGCAGCCTGGATTAACAATATCCAGAAACACCTCTTATTTCCCTAAGGATTTCGGGAATTTCCTGAATGGAAAAGAAAGAATTTAACTACATTGCATTCGTGACATTTTAAATAATTATACCCCCCAAAGTAAAATATCCATTCATGTGGATTTCAGTGCAAGGCAGAATAAAATACTCATTGATATGATTTCACATTCTATGTTGCAATTAACTTTGAAGAAACTACAAATTGTCGAATTTTGGCATCGTATCAAAGCAGAATACCCACTATTCTCTGAAAATAATATTAAAACACTTCTCCATTTTCCTGCGACATATCTGTGTGAGACTGGATTGCCTTCATCTACTTCAAACAAAACAGCAAATTTGCAACAGATTAAAAGCAGAAAAACTAACAAGGTCCAGCTGCCTTCTATTAGGCCAGGCATTAAAAATATTTATAAAACTTATAAACAATGCACTCTTTCCACTAAATTGCTTTTGGGAAAATTGTTATTTTTCAGAGAAATGTGTTTTGTTAGCGAGAATGGATTTCTTCTTGCTATTTGTAAATGAAATACTGTGTTTTTCAAATTTCTAAGTTTTAGTTTCTAATGTAGTGAGTATCAGTAGATAAAACCCACAGAAGAAAAAGCTTTTGGAGATCCTCACGTTTTTCTCTAGGGGTGTAAGGGGAAGTGAAGCCAAAAAGTTTGAGAACTGCTGCCATACTGTGCACCAGAGCAATCCAGAACCTCACAGCTCTGGTTAGGGTGGGGAACATGGGCTACAACTCGAGTAAGATGCAGCCACAATCTGTACGTTTAATTGTTCCATTATTCAGTCAGTGAGCAAACATTTATTGAATGCTACCAGGTATTGGGCTTAGTGCTGGGGCGCTCAGGAACCCATGGCTATATTCATGGAACTTACTGTCTAACCCAGGGATATGCAAACTGTGTCTGTAAAGGGCCAGGGAGTCAATATTTCATGGTCTGCAGGCCAGCAGTCTCTGTCACAACTACTCCACTCTGCCCAGTACAACAGACCACAGATGACATGTCAATGAATGAGCACGGCTGTGTAACAAAACTTTATTTTCTTCCTCGCTCTACTTCATGGACACTGAAACTTGAATTTCCTACAATTGTCCTATGTCATGAATTATTATTTTTTTCTGATTTTTTTCAATCATTTAAAAATGTAAAAACCATTCTTAGCTCATGGGCTCTACAAAAACATGTAGCAGGTTGGATGTGGCTGGTCATGTGCTGGGCTCGAATATACTGAGAGAAGCAGACCTTAAAAGCAACAAATACTAAAATAAACGTGTAATTACAGAATGTGACTAAGAAAAAGAATAATATGATGCTATCAGACAGAAGAGTAGAAAGACCTGTGTGGTTTTATGTTAGGTTCTCAACCCTGTGATTCAGGATACAGTGTGAAGACTGGGAGGCCAGGCGAGGAGATAAGAACAAACCAGATAGTAATTCAATCAGGGTGTGGGTATAGACTAGCTTTGGGGAAATGAACTCATTCTAGGCTGCCTCCAGCCCCATCTTGGACTTATTTCTTTTTATAAAAATGGTAAGTACGATTAAACTCAGGGTTTCAAGTTTTAAGCCTCAGTGGGAAACATGCCTATTTAAAGCAAGGTTTTGATACTAAGGAAAAAACACCAGTGTAATATAAGAAACTGTCCTGAAGTTCATTATTTTGCCAAATGACTTGCAGACCTCGAAATCTGTCAGTATCCTGAGATTTACAGGCGTTCAGAAACACAC